GGGTCTCAAACGTTCTGGTTACGATTAATGTAAACAATTATTTCCGAGGCACACGTTTATATGATCATTATAGTTATAAAAAAATAAGAGAATAAATGAAAAACAGGTATGAAATACCATATGACAGTAAAACAAGAATAACGTTTAAAAGGGTGATTTGTAAAATATCCATAAAGAAAAAGTAAATCTGTTTACAGTTCTGTTTCAAATGGGTGTTGAGAGATGTATCCATAGATCTCTTCATTTTGCTCTCAAAGTGCAACAGATTGATGCATTTAACTTCAATATTTAAAAAGAAATCTTTCCGGAAGAGCTTACCCCCGGACCCCCCTATGTGAGGTCCACACACCACCAATAAAAATGGCACTTTACCCCTGCTCACACCTATATGCCGTGAGCTGATTATCGAGCCTTCATTGTAACTGTCACACTGTATATGCGTGGGGATTGTTGCAGTAGAAAATTCCACTGTAGCGACCAGTACATTAATGGGAAACCCTAAATGTTTGAGCACCCTCTATGAAACGTCTAGCTACCCCACAGCACTCCCAAAATAAATCTATGGCGCCGCCACTGAGCCTGACTATTTGTGTTGTGTGGGGCCCAACTTTTTTCTTTCTCCAAAGGGGGGGGCCTGACAGAAAAAGTTTGAGAACCACTGCCTTAACCCAAGCTTAATGCTAAATGTTAAATGATATGTTATTTAATGTTACTCATGTTAAAGTTCTTCCATATCTCAGACAACTTCTTCAGGACAACATTAGTTATTTTCTTTACCTGATCTCATGCATTTTGCTTTTCTTAGTGTTTTTTTTTACCTTAAACTATGCAATGTCCCATTATACATGATGGCCTCTAGAGACTCTGGGTCAGCACTGCAATAGATGAGTGTCTCTGTGTGTGGCATGGTGGCATCGGTCTCCGATCCCCGTAGTTTGGAAGATTTGTTAGATCGGCTGCACATTTGTAAAATGCAATTCATTAAACCCGACAAACCATTCTTGGTTGTTTTTTCCCCTGTTCCAACAATCCCCAACACTTAATCTATTGAGTTGGATGTGAAAATATACAGGCCTTACACAATGTTTCCCCCTGCTTTCGCTTTCTTTGGCCACTAAGCACCTGTGGTGGAACAATAGAATGACTTGAAGGTGATTGGCTGTACAGTTTTTGCAGAAAGTAACATTGTATATATAGATTATAACACCTTAAGCCCCCCTTTCCCTGCCCATGTAACCTATCATGCAAAATGCACTTTTGTATGTCTTTTATACATGAATATGTGTCCCCGGTGTTCCAGGGAACTCACCAAGTGTCAGAAAATACAACCCTCTCTCTTTTCCTCCATACCCAAATCTCTAAAAACAGGGCTGCAACGGATTTGATACATGTGGATTCTGATTTGCACCTCTATGATGTCACAGAGGTGCACTCCGTCTGTATGGTCAACTCTCCACCTATCAGGGGAATGAGAGGTTGCCGTGGCATGGCAACAGCATAGCAACAGCATGGCAACAGCATAGTAACATGACGCTTGTGCCTCGCCCCCTCCTTTGCAGGGGGGGGGGTCAGCTCCAGCTCATGCAAAGACAGAGCTGGAGTGAGGCAAAATGAGGCATGGCTAAAATGCATGATCTGTTTGGTATTTTGAAAAATAAAACTTATAAATATACCTTATATATGTGTATATATATGTATATGTATATATATATTATATATGTATGGCCCTACAATATATTATTCAAATATAGCATGATAGGTCCCCTTTAACATACTTAAATGCCTTCTACATGCCTAAAAGTTGGTGCCACGTCATTGACTGATCAGATATTTGCGTTAAATAACAAGTTGAACAGATTTACCTAAAATGTGTAGTTAGTTTGTTAAAGCTTAAAATGTTTTGAATACAATGAAACACAATCCTGGAAATAAATGTAATAGATACATTGAGTGCAGAACCAAATAATTATCTTACAGGGTAATATACAACTGCACGCTGATTCAGCAGATGTGGACTTATTTTAGCCTCCAGTTCAGCTATTCTCTCTATTCTAGGGAATATGACCCAGATGCTTAATGGCTTGGTCTCTCTCTTTTTTCCAGAGTTAGGGTTAATCTTCCACAAGACTGTGACTCTCATACATAGTCTTAGTTTCAAATGATTTTGTTATCATCCATTTGTCATCTTTCGCTCGAGTGTGCGTCTCCCCACATGGAGTAGACAATTCCTCCACAGTTGAGAGGGCTGGAAGGGGGAGGAAAAAAAATCAGTTATTATTGATGACTATGAGGTAAAATGCTCAATTTGCACTGTCTTCAACCAAATTATAACTCATATTGAAAGCAGCTGAATTTGCATAAATCTCATTAGACGCAATGAGAGGAGTTCATAAATCGTTATATTAATTAGTCATTTTTGCCTCCCTTTCATAAGAAAATGGGGTGTATTAATAAAACGAGAGGGGTGTGTGATCGTGAAGCCTAATTGGTCGTTTTGTTAAGCGTTTTGGTGCGCATGTGACAGGCTTGATTTACTTTGGCTTCACCTCTATTGTCCGACCAAGTAACTGTAGGGAGATAAGTGTGTGTGTGTGTTTTTATCACCTATTGCATATGTGTATGATCTGTGTATTAACTATTGATGCGGTCATATTTTTCTACTAGGTTCAAAAAGTATAGCTGAAGCATTTCCCAGCATGCATTGTGTGAAGTGAGCATTACACATGGCATTACAGGGCAATCGCACAGAGTTATGTTGGTGTTGGGGCAAGTGGGGGTGTCACAACAATATTCACTAAACTGTGTTTCAGGGCTTCTTAACATTTAACCTATTAATGTGTCATACCCAGTTAACGGGAAGAAACTCAGCTGACGATATGAACAATTTTTACCGAAACAAAACACAATTACACCAAGCCTCTGAATTAGCACTAAATGAAAGAGTGCTAACTCACATTAGCGATTTTTTATACTTCATCGGATCTGCACGAACAAGATATCTGAAAATCTGAAAAAATATCAGAAAGCTGCGATTCCACAGATTCCAATGGTATAAGTATCATCACTGAGCGATCAAAACAACTGCTGGCAAAGACAACACACAACTTCACTTCACTGGGCCAAAACGGCAAATACAGTATGTCTTACCTTTGCTGTTGTTCTGATCAAAAGTTGTGTTCAATGGCATTAAAACGCATATAAGCGCTGCTGAACCGTTGCCCGTGTGGGATCCTTCACAGGTCCTTTGGCGACCTTCCAGGATCCCGCCTACTGCAAGACAGCCCGTAACCAGGTTACCACATGCTTTTATTCAGTGACTGATTACCTGATTCCGGTCAGCTGTCTGGCCTCCGGCCGAGCCACTCCCTTCACTCCAGCAGCCGGCGCCCTAACCACACCCCGCTGCCACAATGTTATAGTTTGGATTCCTAAAGCTTTTAGTCTACTATCCCATCATTCAAGGGTGGTTTTCACTATAAGTAATGTTTTTTTTTTGGACGGAAACTATCATTTACATTTTTTTGCTGTGTTCAATCTTAATTTAATTTAAAATAAAAATATATATATTGATTCTAACTCTTCTACATCCAACTCACATGTGTATTATTGCTTTGAGAAAAAAGATTATTAATTTGCCCCTTTTTAGAAGTGAAGCTATAGTCATTTGTTCTTGGAATGTCATTTTCGAGCCTGAGACCTGAAAAACAGGCTCAGGGCTTAACAGGTTAATATTGACATACAGATGTTAACAACTTCATGGTTACCTTTACTTAGGATAATTTACTCATGTTTAGTCTAGAAGACTGTAAAAGTGTTGTGTATTTACAGGGACTGTTGCAATAATTAAGCAGTTTATAAACATCAGATCTTATAACAAAAACATGTTGACAAAAAAGAAATGCCATGATAGATTTTTGGAGTTTAATTATTGTTATCTTTACTCCAAGAGATGCTGATTTGAAACCGTTGTTACGAAAAGTTTTGGAATTTCCTGTTTCTGCCGGAGAGAGGGGAGTTGGTTCCAAAGCTTGCCGCTGTATTTACACCCTCCACCTGAAAGGAGGGAGCTTCATTAAGCTGCGAATGTGACTACAGACGGAGTTCACTCCATCACGGAGGGGGAGTGGGTAGGGTGTGGTTTGGAATTGGGCCTACATTTCACTGTGTGTGACCTGCTGTGTAATACAATTCAACAGGATTTCATTTAAACCCTCCATTTCCATTTCTCTACTTGGATGTTCTTATAAATGTGCTCTGGCTTGAAGCAGGTGTACATTTTGTGTAAATGTATGTTTTCAGTGAGTCACAGGAGAATATAATTCATATCCATATCCACTGGAGTCCATTATGTGTGACTGATATCAGTACGCCCTCCCCTTCAGCCCATTATGATGCCCTGACCAAGCAGTTTCACCCTGGGCAGTAATGAGGCTTGTCCTTCTGGGTCGGGGGTCTCCATGCTGTCCTCCATGCCCCTCCTATTATCCGCCTTGCCCTTCTTGACACATCCGTACAGCATGGAGGGTTAGCCAGCCTAATGGCGCTCCACCTCCAGGTTTGATTAGCGGGCCTGTCTGAACTCTTGTTGCTGAGACGAATGAAGCTGGAGAACCACTGCAGCTCCAATTAAAAACCCTTTTCTCCACTACACTTGCACAGGCGTGTCTTTTTATGTGCTATGTGTGTGTGCAATGTATCCTTAGCTTGCTTTACCCTTGCTTGTTTTCTTAGTGTACATATAGTGGGTCATTTTCAGACACATAAATGTGAAAAGCCTAAAGACACCTAACAGTAATGTTTCATTCAATACAAATGCATCAATGACATGTAACAGTCGTTAATGTGGCTCAGTAAAAGTATCTGTAGTCAATGGGAACACCTGAATATAAATGTTTTTGCAGATTCGCTCTTTAGTGAATACAAGTTCACATCATCATTTGAAAACCACGTGTTCACACTCTGGCCTTTGACCAACTGTGACCTCTGACTCTGTCCTGCAGGTTCCTCAGTGACCCAGCTGAAGGCCTCGGATCCGGAGGGGGAACCTCTTGTGTACGGTGTTTCAGGAGAAGAGGCCATGCGATATTTCTCTGTGAACAGTGTGACTGGTGTGGTCTGGCTTCGACAGCAGCTCGACCGAGAGGTAAGACCACCAAAGCACACTCACAAATGACCAAAGCATTATTCACAAAAAAGGACAATTTTGGGAAAAAGGAGATGGAAGGTAAATTATCAAATGATGAAAGAGCAGTGAAAAGTGCAATACTCCTGAGCATGAATGGAAAAGAAAGGGTTTTGAGTTCAGAAATAAGTATTTTTCTTCTTTTCTGTGCTGCTTTCTTGCACTACATGTCCATGCAACGTTTATGCGGATGTCTGTCTCTGTCTCCACTAGAGCAAGTCAGAGATGCAGGTCGAATTCTCCGTGAGTGACATTCAGGAGGTAAGAGACAGTTTTGCTCTGTGATCACAGTTATGACACCTCCCGTCACACCCTGACACCTGCGAATAGCCTGACCCAATGTCACAGAGAGACCGTCTCTCTCAACGCGTCTTTCCTTTCAGGCACTTGCTTTCATTCACACACATATTTCTCTCTTTCTCACATGTAATCACTGTGACACCTGTCTAACGCAACACAGTTTACTTACTGAAACATACTGACGTTCAACCTACTCTCCCCCGCGGGTAACCTATCACACACTTTTCCTGTTTTCTTTTACTCTGATTCTTGGCTTGGCATGGCTTTCATGCACATTTTCAGTGACTGCTGTCATCCTCACCTATAGAGGAACATTTGGAAACTGTTTAACCGAGATGTTTCCTCCCTCAGGTCGTCAAAGACACAGTAAACATCCAGATTGGAGACGTGAACGATAACGCACCAGTCTTCCATGGGCAGCCGTACACCGTCCACATCCCAGAGGTAAGGCTGACAGAAAGTTATGTTAACTTAAGGTGTCCAAGGTAATGCTGTACCAAATCGTCAACAATTCAATGCGACACAGCTTTTTTGAATTCAATATATATTTGACTCAATAATATTCTTATTATATACCCAGTATTTCTGCACGTAGAAGAACAAATACTGTAACTTTATTTCCTTCTTTCTTTCTCACACACACACACACACACACACACACACACACACACACACACACACACACACACACACACACACACACACACACAGACACAGACACACAGACACACACACACACTTTTGTTAACAGACATCAACAGCCTAATTAAAAAAACCTCTGGTACAGCCCTTTGTGTTGCAAAAATGTGTTGATTAGAGGTCGAGATGCAACTCTTCCTGCATAAAACTGAACAGAAAATGTATCATGTGTATGTGTAGGACTCTACACATATCTCTTGTTTATAAGTTATTTGGATGGTTAGTTTATCTTATGTGCTTTGACTGACAATGGTTTACTTGGCGATAGAAAACATGTCTTAAACGGATTATAAACGTCCACAACTCATGGTGATCACGGAAAATGCATAGTGCTTTGTGGAGCCCTGAAATAGCAGCGTTTTCTGGACCTGTGATCTTCGCAGTATTTGAGGAGTTGTCTTATAGCTCATGTTTAGAGAGTGTTCACTGCCTCCTTTTATAGCAAAGACAAACACTCTCTGCAGTGCAGACCTCAATCTCTTTTCTCCTCTGCGTTTCTCCTCCTGCTTCTCCGTCCTCTCTCTGAATCTGCTGCCTCTCTTCTCAGCTCTCACTCCTCTCCATCTTTCTCTCTCCTCTTTGCCCTCTCCCTCATCTAATCCTTGATGGAAGTAATTGCCAGAGTGGAGTGGAGGACTTCAAACAGGGGCTGGAATCCACGCACAGAAACACACACAAACACACACATCCACATTTCTTGTTGTGTTTATATTGAGCATATACCCCTTTCTGAGTCTTCACCAAATCTTCAAAGCCACAGGCTTTTTCTCTTTTCCAATCCATAAAGTCAGGCAAATAAATGGGAGAAAGAAAGGCTGTTAAGACGGGGCTGTTTAGACCACCCACCATGCACTGAAGGCTCTCTCAGGCAATTCCATGCACTGCTCAGTTGTGTGGGACTCTAACAGTCCACATGCAGACTTTCCAAGCTCTGGAAACAATAGGCTTCAAGTTAGCCATCGAACAGAGCTGTGTTCGACCCTCTGTCGTCACTAATTGCATCACTCAATGAGTTGCTGTTCATCTCAGTCCAGTACTCTTTTTATTTTACGGCAATGGGTTGTGGTAATACAATTCAGACTCTTTCAAATATGAGACACAGCAGTGAGTCTAATTTACCCACATTTGTCTCCACTGAAAATAGCTGAAGCCTGTAACAATAAGACAGTAACAGTCAAAATAAAATATGCCAACCTTGTGTGTGTGAGCACAGAGTGAGACTAATGCAGGTGGAATGTGTTTTATCACAAATCTCAATCAACTTAGTTGTCAGTGTGCCTTTCTTGATAAATGAGACACGTCAAATTCATTTATATTTGTATGTCTGTGTGTTGCAATAACAATGCAGCAACAAAGCCCAACCTCGTACACAGAGAGATCTTCCTTTAGGGAACAATGTTTATGCAATGTTTTAAGAACAATGTTATTTTAGGAGTCTTCTTCCTCATCCTACCTTGTTTCCCCTTCCTCTACCTCATACTCCACCTGGTCCTGTTCCCCCACAGCTTTTGTCCCCTGCATTTGTATGGCCTCATTACCGCTGTGATCCTAACTGACCTCTAGCAGGCAAAGCAAACATGCTGCGGCATCACTCCATCACGCTGTCACTCACTGGACATGCCAGAGTTACTGGAGGTTAGAGTACAATCAGCACCACTATATAGTGCTGATGAACTTTAGCACACAGAGAAAAAGATAGGAACGGATGATGGTGGTGAAGGATGGCAGAGTAGTTAAAGTATAAGAGGATTGACGACAGAAAGCTTTCAAATGATGGAATTAAACAAACAGATTGACAGAAACAACTCATAGGGCTTTAGGGCTGTTGAAAAAGAAGAGCCTTTACGGGAGGAGATATATCAAGGAGGGCCTGACGCAGCTCAGCAGTGAGCAGATGAAGCAAAGTGAGTGGCAAGGTGAGCGGCGCAGTAGGGAGAGCGGGAGGAGAGTGTGTGTAAATGTCGTTTTAATTTGTAGAGCCATAAAGAGGGTGAAGGGGAGCAGGTGGGCTGCTAGCATTCCCTCTGTCAGCGCTAATGAGCTGGCCAGATTTACAGCATCCACACTCAGGCAGCCAGCAGCAGAGACACTGCATTCAAGGAGCGTAGACTATCACCCCAAATAATGTTTAGATACAACAGCAGATGGGCCACAACCCAAATCCATTATTGCATGAGATGATGGAGAGAGCCTATACTGAGAAGTGTTTTTCACATTCCCTTCGCGCGAGAGGTAGTCTTCTATATCAACACGTTTAAAATGTTTTTGGTTTGGAGTCAGTGGAGTCTTGCTCTGAGCATCTGTGGGACCTTCCGTGGCTGCATCACTCCCCAAAAACTCTCACAAACATACCTCCCCCCAGCTGTCTGACCCTCACACCCGCCCACTGGGAGCCGCTCTCTGTCAGTGCCACCATGATAATATGAAATGCCAGCAATTACAATATCTAAGTTTGGCCCGTGTGCGACCACAATCTCAGTTTTCTCTTGTTCTTTTCGTCGCTTGTATTCCTTTTCTTCTCTTTTTCTGCCATTTATTTTGCCTTAAATGTCTTGCACGAATACATATACACCAAACACACTTTCCCTGAGCGGTATTGGGATTATACACATTCAGTTTGCATGTATTTAGTCATAGTCCATAAATGTTATCAAAACTTGTTTTCTCATGGTCTTAGCAGGGTATACGTTTCGGTTTTTTCCTCAACTAATAGCTTTTCACAATTTAAATGCCATCTGTTTTTCTTCCTCTCGCCAATATTCCCCTTCCTCTCTGCCTACAGTACAGTAGATACGCAGTGCAGTGGAATCCCGCCTTTGATAACACAGTAATGATGCACACAAGATTGTAAAGCTGACTTCAGACCAGCGCTGTAATGCGGCACATAGATGGAATAAATGCATCGGCAGACAGGCAGGAGGCTCCGGGTGATAGATATCCAAACTTTATCTGTTTACTGTCTCTCAGGTATGTCAGGCAGGTTAGCAAATCCCTCCTCAGCCTCTGTTTTCTATCTGCCATATCTCAATGTGCCTCTCTAACCTACAGTAAGCTCTGATGAACTACAGCCCATCTTATAGAGGAGGGCTGCCCAGGGTGGAAACCCCTCAGGGGAAGTCAGAAACCTGAGGAAAGAAAAGCCCCTTCAGTCTGGGATGATACATAAAATAAATCTGTATTTAGTTTTTTTGTAAGAAATACAATTCTGAATTATTCAGAACAGCAGCAGGAACATTTATCAGAAACCCAAAGTTATTTGTTTCTTAATCTGGCTCCAAGTCCCCTCTCTTTTCTTTTCTTTCATTCTACATATTTAAATAGTCGGTGAATTGTATCAGCTGGATCATTGTAAGTTTGGAAAATAGGTGCTAACATGCAAATGAGGAAATAATAAAGTATATTCACCAACTTGATAACACATGTGCTGCATTTCGACAACATCCACCAACTGAGTTGGTCGATTTCATCATTTGCAGTGTTTTGTCAGGAGATTTGAAATTACTAGGCTAGCTACGTTCGCTGGCTAGCAGATCTGCAATAATATCAGAAGGACTCGGAAATTAGCCAACGAAACGTACTTTCCAGTAAGTTTCCAGTGACTGTTGGCCAACTTTATAATCCCTAAACGCTCCATGTCCCAGCTGAGTGCATCACTTTTGAATGTCCTCTTTCCGTTGTGTTTTGAGCTCCTGGCAGCCTTTAGTTTCTTTCACCGTATTGTATTTGCACCGTTTTGTTTATGCAGCGCTTTTAGTTAACGCTGCGCCAATTGGTTTATGTTTTCTAAATACTGTCCATATGTTGTCAAGTTTGTGGAGATGTTTCTTCATTTGCATCCATTTTGGCAAATTTGCGTTTTTTTATTTGCATAATTCTTTTAACTGCAGCAAGTTTCTCCTCATAGAAATGTTTTGGGCCGTTGTAGCGCGTTTGCTCTCGTTGTTGACTGTATAAAGGCACCATGTCTGTAGAAGGAATTCATTCAAACTAGCTTCATTTCACACCCAACTTTTGGCTGCTACTTTCTCAAAACAAATATGAGATGCATAGCGTGATATCATTTCATGCACTAAACACACAAACACTCACACACATGCACTCATATTTTAGATAGTATTGGCAGAGGGTGTTTGAGAGCTCCGATTACGCCTGTGAATGAGCTGCTTAGTGCTTGATGTGGGCTCTGGCAGCAAAACAGAGACACCTGCTCTTTGATGTGCCCTCTGTCGCTGTCAGGTAGAACATGGATAAATCTGCTTCCTTCCCTTTTCTTCTTTGCCTTTTTTCCACTTCTGAATGCTTTAATTCAATCCCTAATCTTTCATCGCCTTGTGCATCTCAGCAGCAGGTTACAGCACCCGAAAAGTAATTTGTTTACCGGATTACAAACAGATATTTCAGCTCTAAAGCAGCCACTACAGTATTTTGATGACTAAGGTTGTTGCAGTTGCAAGGTTCTCTGGGGAAAAAAACGAGTCTTATTTGTGGTGAAATACATTTATTTAGAAATTACAGTCATAAAATATTCGGGATTTACCTTCTGTACATTTATCCTCCACACGGAATGCACACAAACCAAAAAGGAACAACATCTTTATGACACACACACACACACACACACACACACACACACACACACACACACACACACACACACACACACACACACACACACACACACACACACACACACACACACACACACACACACACTGCCTCTAAGAAGTTGGATTTAGGCCATAA